CCTTTTCACAACTTTTCATCCTTGAAGTTATCTATATGTACCAAACTACTCGTGCTTGTTGTTGAATTTTATTTAATTTTTTATGAAGGTTTTTATGTACATAAATTTAAAGAATGATGAAAATGCTACACTCTGAATTCCAGTTTTTGTATTAAGTTGGTATCTCCTATTCTTAATTTCAAGGAACATATCTACAGTGTTGTAGGAGGCCTACCTGTATAATACTATTTTATTGTGAGAAACTGTAACTGGAAATATGCATGTAGGATATATATATTTCCACTTTTTACACCACACAGTAATACTTTCATTTCTTAACTTGTAACTGAAAGTGTGTGTTTCTAGATTATTTTTTATTTTTTATAATTTTTTTTTAATTTAATTTTTTTTTTTTTTTTTTTTTTTTTTGAAGTTTAATTTAATACTTGACTTGTTTCTCCAAAGACTTCATTAGTATTTTCCTTTTAGAACTTTAATTCTTAAATGTTAATTTCTAAGGGTACCACTTTATTGGTATTTCTTTTTACTTTTGGTTTGACTTTTATCCTTGCCTGCATGAATGACGAAACACGAATTGAATGATTGGAGAGTTAAGTTTGGAGGCAACTTCCCCTTGATAAGTCTGTCTCCTGCCTACTCAACAGTCATTCACTTATGCATTTTAAAAAATTGTTTGGTTTAATTTTAATTTAATTTACTAAACTAGTGAATTTATTTGTGTGGTTTGGTTTTGCACTTGATTTGCTTATGCTTCTGAATTTAAATGATATTGTAGATTAGTTCGAGAATTAAATCTTTTATATGTTTACACATTTAAAAAAAAAATTTTTTTTGTTTTTTTTAAAAATTATTTTGGCTTTTTTTCTTTATTTTGGCTTTAAATTTGCTTTTTTACTTTTATACGTGTTTGTTAAAATTAAAATTTTTTTAAATTATATATATATATTATATATATAAATATATATATATTATATATATAAATATATATATTATATATATAAAGTTCAAAATATCAAATGAAGTTTACGTTATTGAGTACTTCAATTTGTCAAACAGCAGCCAATATTTAAGAAATTTAGGTCTTGCTGACTATCTGCATCCCACCAAACCACCACCTTGTCGCTGTTTTGGAAAGCACTCATGAACTTGTTGCAAACTTTGAAAAGAAACATTTGATATATATTTCAATAATGCATCAAGTGCCACTTATTATTTTACACTTCTTTTTCCATACAAAACATGCACACTTCTCATTTTTTGTACTGTTGTTCTTCTCATGTACAAAGCAATCTGCTTTTGCTAAAAAGAACATCAGAAAATTGCTCACCTTGGCATTGCACACAAACTTCAACTCAAAAATCTTAAAATAAGAAGGCAAAAAAAAGCTGCATACCTTTTAAGCAAGCCATGTTTGGCTCTATGGACGCACAAAGCTAAATTTGAGATTTCGGCAGAGACAAAAAAAATTGCAATATGTAGTCCACTGCTATGCTAATGCTAAAATTCCTACAGGAATGATCATAATCTGCAGTCACACTAATGAAAATGTTTGGAGAAGCACCAAAAATAATAAGACTTTTTTTCGGTACTTTCGGAGTATCTGCATTCCTACTAAAAGCTCGAGCAAATGTAACTGTATGTACTAAAAACTCGATGGGACAATGCATCACGTCATTGAAAAGTATTTTTGTCGTAATCCACAATGTTGCAGGGAAGTATTTATGCAGCAACCCAAGTATGCATGCAGTAGACTATGTGGATTTGCACCTTTGAAATTCATTGGTCTTTTTTCTGACGAGCATTTCTTCTTGCATCACGTATATTTGTTTTTGTCATAACGAATTCAATGGAATTGTGGAGTTTTCTGGCTTAAGAAAAAGAAACTACGATTATTACCAAATGCAACGGTCGGTTGATGTAATTACCTCTAAGAAGTGTGCACACCATCTATGGGAAAAGAATAATAATAAAAAAAAAAAAACTGGTAGCATTGGATGTATCATTGAAATAGACCTAAAAACAAACATTTCTCTCCAATGAGTTAGTGACGTTTCAGTGGCTGTGCAAGAAATCGGAAAATATCCCTTTTTTAAACACTCCCTATATAAGTGCTGTTATTAAATATTCATTAAATCAATATATCGAATACATAACCCTCATTAACAAAAATGTTGCATTAGTTGAAGAGAACCAAAAAGTGTCATATACTACAGTACAAAGTCTGTAATCCGGACGTCCATTATCCAGAATGATATAAAATCTGGATATCAAAGCCACAAACTTTCTTTTGTATGCTTTACGCATGCGCGTTGGGAGGATGTGTCTCCACATTAAAAAAATGCTTGGCATAATTTATGGCCAGGTACCATATTTCATGGTGAAGACAATGAAGATGATAGCCGCGAATTTGAAGGTTTTCGGCCATCGCAAACTAAAGATGAAATTTTCCAGTTATTGGATTTTGTAAAGAAATGTGGAGAAGCGGTAATAAATGAAGATGATATAACAGAAGTTTTTCTTTTGCGACAACAATGCCACAATCATCAATCAATTAATGGACGGCGAAATCTGTAGTATGGTTCTAGATCTAGAAAATACCGCTTCCGATAGTGAAGAAAAAGACAGTTTATTGAAAACGAAAAAATTTCGATTGACAAGTTAGTTGGTATTCTCGACACAGCAATTACAGGACTTGAACAGTGGAACTTTGTAACTGAACAAGAAATTATGTCTTTTTATAAGATTAAAGAGAAAGTATTAGCACAAAAAAATGAAGCAACTTAGACAACTTACATTGAAAGAAATGTTTAAATAAAGTAAACGAATAAATATTAAGCTTTTTTTTTGTTAATTTTGATACTCTTTAGATCACAATTTCTCTTTATTTCATAAATTATGGTTTCATGTTTCTAATTGTATAATTTCTGCATGTCATCTAACCAGATTTAAATTGATGATCTATAATCCGGAAAACCCCTAATCTGGAATCGCCAAAGTCTCGACGACTCCAAATTACAGACTTTGTACTGTATATCCATTTTGCTTTTTACTTGTGCTTACTTACAAAATTTCTTTTAGTATTAATATGATCACCACTTCAATAGTTTTTAAATTTCTGCATGTCTCCCTATATATTTACTATTGATGCACATCTAAAGACTATTTGCCTTTAATTACTTTTAAAATTGAATTCCTTCATCTCACCACATGCTTCATAGCATTTCTTTTTTTTCATTAAGACAGAGCCCAGGGAGCTCAGGTACTGAACCATTTATATTAGAGATCATAAGATATTTTTCTTGTAATTTATATATGCTATTCTAAGACACCAAGTGCATTAAAATACATAAAATAATATTCCTACAAGTAATGAAACAGAACTTTTAAATACAGAACATCAAAACAGCTATACTTGCTTGCAGTTTGATTTGACACACTGTAGAGACATTTGGTATTTTTTGGAAGCAGGCAAGATGAAAAATTAGCAAACAATTTCACCAGGAACCAAACCGCAGACCTCTAGAATACTGGCTCAGCATGAAGAACCACTACACCACGAAGGCAGGCATGCTAGGAAGGTGGGAGAAAGACCTTAAATACTCCCCCTTTTAAAGGGTGACTGGGGTTTTTGGGGGACCCGATTGCCAAATTCTGGGTGAGGAGAATCATCATCCAACACCCTTTTAGTTCGGACGCCACTTGTAAAGAGCTTAGTTTTTTTTTTTTTTTTTTTTTTTTTTTTTTGAGGTGACGGAGATGAAAAATTGGCAACCATCTTCATCAGGAATCGAACCACGGGCCTCTGGAATACCGGCCCAGCATGCAGAACCACTACACCCCGAAGGCACGCTAGGAAGGTAGGAGAAATACCTTATAACACTAGCAAAATGCTGCAGATAAAACTACGAAGTTGAACTGTGAAAAACTCTTACAGGCATTTTTAAGAAAGTTAAAATAATAAAATGCATTAGAGTATAAATTACTTTTTTTTTTTTTAGCAGCTCTTTTTCTAAACTTCAGTCTCAGCCAATACTAGTCATACTAAAGTATGAACATTAAAATATTTACAATACACAGAATAGTTTAAAATTTGATTCAGAGTTTCAAAAGTTTAATGCATATCAAGATATAAACTTTTATACTTATAATAAATTGCATTACATACTCATATTTTTTACTTGTAGATTGCATCAAATAACTATACATTCAGTCCCTATCTGTTATTTTTTAGTGCACAATGAATTTGTTACTAGTGTGGTGTAACAAAACATATAGCGATAGCTAATAATTCAATGGAACTACTCTTATATGCACCCTCAAGTCGCCAAATTTCTCACCTCCATGGTGCCAAATTACTATCTAAATTTTTTGTCTACATTTCAAATTTTAAGCCTAAAATGTCTCCAAAAATGCGGTTTTCGCATATGCAAATATCATGTTTTGAACACATAATTTAAACTAAAAATCTGAAACAAAACAGATAGCAAAAACGTAAAGTTCCTAACCAAAAATATTTGGCAAGAATCCATGTACACAGTGATATGTTTTAACTTAAATAAATATCTACGAATAGCTCAATCTAGGCAGCAAAAGAATCTACGAACTATGCACACCTCGCTTTAATAAATTAACATAACTACAAATTTCAAAGAATACCATGTACATAGCATTCTGTTTCAACTTTAAAAAACATCTACAAATTGCACGATCTACGCAGCAAAAGATTCTACGAACTACGCACACCTTGCTTTAATAAATTAACATAACAACAATAAATTTCAAAGAATACCATGTACACAGCGTTGTTTTTTTTTTTTTAACTTTAAAAAACATCTACGAATTGCACAATCTAAGCACTAATCAACAAAATAAACTAAAATAACTAAACTAAATTTCAAAAAATTCAAAAAAACAACAATAACGACAGAAATTCATACTAAAAAAACAACGAACATAACATTCTACAAAATAAGAACAAGAATAAAATAAAGTGCACTTACCATGAATGAATGCTTTTTCGAACAGCACAAATACCAATTTCATGCCGCCTTTAACATGCTGATGCACGCAATCACTATTGTATTTATATGACAGCCAGACATGGTCCAGAAAATTCATACTATGGTTCACAAATAAATATTCACAACTTTCTTTTCCTAAATCTTTGTAAGATTTCTAGTCATCCGAAAAAATAGTTGTACAAGGCTCAATTCACTCTTTAATACACTGCATCAGCGTTTGCTTCATTCTATCATGCACAACCAATAAAAAAAAATCTCTCAGACCCTCTTGCAACTATGTCTCTCATTGCAACATGGTTCACAAATAAATATTCACAATTTTCTTTTCCTAAATCCTTATAAAATTTCTAGTCATCCGAAAAAATAGTTGTACAAGGCTCAATCCACTCTTTAATACACCATCAGAATTTCCTTTTTTCTACCATGCACAACCACTAAAAAAAATCTCCCAGACCCTCTTGCAGCTATGTCTCTCATTGCAAGATAGGCCATTTCAAAACACGTACGACATGAACCAACGAGCAATTAAAACACTCGAGCAAAAGAGTATTCAACATCAAAAGAATTACCATACAACACGCAATCGCGCCAAAAACCAGCGCAGAACACATATCACCACATTTGGTGATCTTAAGGCATATATAAGAATAGAGCCAATTCTATTATAAGAAGACTGTAAGGACACCATTCTTCAGCAAGATGTGATTTCTACTTCTTCCATGAGCACAACTGTTCTAGCTCACTGAGCCTTCACTTTAGCATGCTTCTCAAGATGATCTTTTTCTTCCTAAATGGCCTTCATACTATCCTAATATAACCCAACATGATTTTTTTTCTTTCAGAGTTATATCAAAGATTACATATTCATGCTCACAATGCAATATGAGCACAACCATGAGAAGGGCTCATGCATGCTTTGATATCAGTTGTGACATTAAATTCTGACAGAAACTAAATCTTGGATTAATGATTAACTATATCATTAGAGATGCATACATCAGGCACTTAATTATGGACATACAAAACTTCAAGATATTATTTATTCACTTTTGTGCTGTATTTGTTATGGTTCATAAATCATAAATTTTTGAAACCCTAGAGGGAATTATGAATCACCTGTACAAACTCTTTGCACCTATCATTTATATACTTAATCATGGAGCAAGAATTTTGCACAAGCACAAAGATTTCTTTACTTTTACATAACAATGAATTCAATAAAATTATGACCTAAACTCAAAAATGATACTGTACCAAACTGGCAAGTATTTTATTCAAAATGGCTGCAATTTTGTGTTATCGGAATTTTTGGTAACTGTAACATGCAATCTGCCACTTTCATTCAATTATTTATTTTTTAGATGGCAGCAGTAAAAGTGGGGTAGAGTAGACTTTAAGGTACCCCTTGTATTATGGCGAAGTTGTTGTTTGATTTATCATCAAGTTCTTGTTTCATTTATGGTAGCCTGAGTAGTTGAATTTTATGGAAACCCTATTGTGACGTAATCGGGTGGATGATTCTGGGAAATTTTGAATCATGGGATGTTTTGTAAGCACTTTTGTGGTGTGTGTTAAAATCGTTTAGATCATGGACCTTATAAGAGATAGACTAACCCAGCGAGCGGGGCGCGCGTCACCGACATGTCGACAAGAAGAGTAGGGACGATCTGGTTTACTTTTAACACTGAAACCTATGGTGTTTGTATCACATAACTCTTTTTAATTATTAAATGTGATAATTGTATAGTGATGAGATTATGAAAGCCACAGTTTTTTTCCAAATAGGATTTAATATATCTCATTAAAGCACTTTTTACTGCATTTTGAGCATTTTTTTCACGCGTAATTCTTGTACCAACATCTTTACTTTGGTAAAATGGTAAAAATTCTAGGCACAAAATTTTGCACTTAATTTTGCGTAAAAATAAAGTAAAATTAAATAAGATTGATAGTATGTGATGCTTTGAAATAAATAAGGTAAAATTAAAGTAGATCTGATATTTTTTTTTTAATTTAATGAACATTTTCAGGCAGTGATTTTCCAAACTATAATAACATTCAAAACGATCATATTTATTTGATTATATGATCATTAAATTACTTATTAACATTAAAGTGGATTAGTTATTTTAATAATTCATAAAATTCGAAGCATAAAATTTTCTGAGCGTAATGAAGGGGAAAAAAAGGATAAATTAAAATCTAGAAGCACTCAAATTTTATATTACACCCAAAGGGAAGCCTTTTTTAAAGTTTTGTGTGTTACCTATATTTATTGAATATCATGTTCTTCGCCTGTAAACCACATATATTTGAAAACAGCATATCTTTAGAATTTCCGCACTGGAGAAAAAACTGTTATTTTTCGTACAGTGCTCGCTCTGAACTCCTTGAGTTTGTTAATCAAGAATTTGTTAAAGTTTTACAAAATATGAAATAGATTAAAACAAATTCGAAATTCAGCTGTCCACATGCCCATGTTCGGGTGGAGGATTACATTATTCAAAATTTGATGGCTCTAGATATTGTCATTTTTGTCACAGTGCGAGAAAAACATGTATTCATGCAGCTTCTTCATTATTTAATTTCTTTACATAGAACACCAGGTGATAATATGTGGTAACAACAATTTGCAAGGAGACATGGATATTTATAGTAAAACAGCGCAAAATGCCGCTTCGAAACTAACAGCCTTTCTAGGGTACCGCCCCTTTGGGCTAATAAATTAAATTAACAGTAAAGTAAAAAAATTTTATGCAGAACTAAAAATAAATTAAAAAAATAATCACTATAAAATACAAGAAAAAATAATTATTACGGTTAAATACAATTTTAATATTATAATTAAATGCATAAAAATTTTTAAGGAGTCAAAAGTGTTTATCACTATGATGTATTATGAAACATAATTGAAATAAAATTCCTTTATAGAAATTGTGCTATAATATTCATCTATAATTTTAAAAAAGCAACACAATTTAGAATTTTAAACAAAACTTTCAAAAATTCGTTTTTAAATATTTTAGTATTTTTTACTTATTTACACCAATAAAAAGCATAAAAATTGCAAGAGGAATTGGCTAATCTTTGGAATATGGTAACAGGTAGTTTGGCGACATTTTGATAAGGCGATAAAGGTTACTAGCTAGAACTTTAGCAGTGTACATGGATAAAGTCAAGAGTGTGTGCAATGCCATTTTTGTGCAATTCTGGGATGTTTTTTTAAGTGAAAATAGGTCGACGTGTACATGGATACTGTGTATGTGCAATTCTTAAAAACGCGGCAAGCAGTGGGCGATTCTGCACTTTCTCCCAGTTTCACACCTAATCTTCGTCATGATTAAGCACTTTTGTTCCATTAAAGTTCTAGCATAAGCGTAATTCGGCTAGCAGATTGTTGGAAAAAAATGTTGAGGAAAAAATAATAATAATAAAACATGACTTTACTTTGTGAAAACAAAATGCTGTCCAAACAAAAACTAGCAGGTTGCTGTAGCAGGGTTGGTCGCCAAATTTTCGCCAAAAAATTGCCAAGTTACCATAATCCAAAGATTAACCGCGAAAATTGCTTGTTTGAAATTTTCAATTAGTTCAGATTTAAAATATTACTTTCTAAAAGAAGTAGTTACAAATTTCCTTACAGCATAGAAAAAGCTAGAAAAATATCCAGCCCTGAATGCATGCAATAGCTTTATAATTATTTTAAAGGTTAATTATGCTTGATAAATATGCTAAATTTTTAAAAATCAATCTCAATTTCAAAAATAAAAATATGTAGAAATTCTAATTTGTGAAATGAGGCGCTACAACCAGCTTTTTCTTGACAATTATACACACTGCAATAGGCAACCAATGTTAAATTTCTGCACGTCGTCCCTACTCCTCCGGATTGTGATCAAGGTGACAGCCAGCAACGCCTCAGATGAGGGAGAAAACCTGTTTGGGTTAGTCTATTTCTTATAAGGTCCATGGTTTAGATGGATTTGAATGGGTTTGTAGGAAAAAAGGTTCAGATGGTCACTATGTGAAGTGTTCGATCAGAAAGAGTACCTGGTTAGAAAAAAGTCATTTGAGTATGATTGATATTTTTATTTTTACGTGGCTCTTGGTGTACGAAGCGAACTCGAAAACCATGGTAAGTAAATATTTGCTTTTGATAGTGCTTAAATGTATAACATGTGTTTCCTTTTTTATGTTATTTTATTGTTTGGTTTAAAATGTATATTATTGAGATTATGTATTTTTTGTGTGCCTATGTTATAGAATTTGGGTGCTCCTTTGACTTTTCAAGTGAAAATATATCGTATGTGTACATGGACAAAAGTCAAGGGAATGTGCACAATGCAACGTTTGTGTGCAATTCTCTGATTTTTTTTTTTTAAGTGAAAATAGGTCGACGTGTATATGGATAAAGTTAAAAGAGTGCACAATGCCATTTTTGTGCAATTTGGGGATATTTTTTTTAAGTGAAAATAGGTCTACGTGTACATGGATAAAGTCAAAGGAGTGCGCAATGCCATTTATGTGCAATTTGGGTATTTTTTTTTTAAGTGAAAATAAGTCGTGTACATGGATACGGAGTTTGTGCAATTGTTTGTCTTGTTATTTTGGCTTTGTGTAGCGGCGATTTTTGGGGCAAAAATCGCTGCTTCACAAGCCAAAATAACGAGTCAAAGAATTGAACAAAATTGGTATCCATGTACCGCCAAAAATTGCCAAGTTTTGCCAGGGGGTACCCTAAACTATCACCAAGTTTCGCCAAGGGGTACCCTTAACCGAGTAGCAGAGACAATAATAAGAATGAGCATGATTCAAGTTATAGGGAAAATAGATATTATAATGTTAATATTACTATGTATTCTTATTGGAATGTAAGTTTCTTTTAAAGAAATAATATTGTGTTAATTACCAGTAGTTTATCAAGACTACAACTGTTACATTCTTATTGTAATTGTGTCTTTCAGAAATTAAATTATTCCCATAATTTTCTTGATTTTCAGGCAAAAAAATGATTAACACGAAAAGGGAAGATATGCAAGGAAATTTGGTAAATATACAGCTTTTGGTACTTTTCTGTTATCCATTTAGGATGCTTTGGGACAGTAACAGAAGAGAAACACATTGAGACCCAATGATAGTGCCATCTGGGAACCAAACCATATGTTGATTCACACACATATAAATGTGTAACAACAGAAAAGAAAACACATACACATGCAAACGCATGGCAGGTTTACTGATAAGTAACTTTGTTTTAACATTATATGATGTCATCTTTCTCCTAATTTTTTTTAAGTGAAAATAGATCGATTTGTGCATGGAAAAAGTCAAGGGAGTGCACAATGCCAAGTTT